GCCACATCTCATCATGCAAAGCTGAAGGTATCGATGAAGGTTTGTTCTGAGCATTTGAATTCAGGTTAAATGAATTATGGCTAATCACAAGTAGTTCTTGCCATTCTGAATGTAAAAGAATGTTTTAAAAAAGAAGTAAATTTCAAAAGTCTTTGTTATTTGTGTTGACCTATTGAAATGAATGTACCCAGTAAACAAAAAGGTAATGAAGAAAATTTAATTATTTTCTGCTTCAATAGTTAACTCTTAGTCTGACTACTAAATAAATCTATAAAAAAAAAAGAGTCCCCCAAATTGTCTGTTTCACAGCTCTCTAGTTTTCTGCACAAGCTGAATATTTTTTAGTAATATCTGCCAGCAATTTAACATAAAGGGAACTTCAGCATTGTTAGGTAGTCTTTATTCTCTATGCAGCAAATTTTTTCTCCCAGCATGAGTTCCTGCTTTTAAAAACCATGAAAGTTTTTCTACTTTCTTCCCCTCTTCAGGTTTTAATTACTTGATTAAGCCTTTGCATAACATACATAGTAGTGTTTATAGTCAATCTCTGTGTGACTGGAACATGTTATTGAGCAAGTGACAGCAACAGTGGTTCCATGAAGTGTGTGTGACAAAGCCACAGTGGGGAATGAAATTGGGACTTCTGCCTGCCTTCCTGTGCAAACCGTGCATTTCCAGCCAGTGTGTGCATGAGCAATTGTTCTACATTTATAAAAATGATCATGTTAAACCAGCTGCAGTAAAAATAATTACCATCTTCTTAAATTGTAAACTTCAGATGCTCACAAAGAGCTTTACTTTGTTGTTGACTATTTTCCCCAAGAAACTAGTTCTAGGGGATCATTTTAGAAGATGGGCAGTATTGTGCACTCTGCTCATCATCTTCTGCTGTCCCTCAAACTAGAGGCAAAAGGGCAAATAAACTTCCAATCTCAAAGGGATGCTACAGAGAAACTAATTTTTTTGGGGAAAAAACCCATGCCTCTCTTGAGGAGAGATTTGCACCTGCTTTTCTCCTGCTCTTAGGCAGTGGGACAAGGCAACTGATTATACCTGAGTATGGGGTGACTACCAGTGAGTATGCTGAGCTCCTACTGGGGACCTGGTGCTAGCTGGAAGGATCAATGAGGAATCCTTGGTCAGGAGGATGTGACAGGTTCTGTGGAAGAAAGGGTGACTTTTCTCCCCAGGAGAAGCAGCTTATCACAGGAGGTAAGGGAGGGGATGGGGAAGCTGCTGCAGCTGCTTGCTCATCCTGGATTCCTCTGCCGTGGAGTGAAGACTGAAGAGGTAACAGTGGTCAAGGAGAGTGCCTTGGGCAGGCCAACTGAAGTTGCTGAGGACAGCCAAGAGCAAAACCAGGGACCTGCCATTGCCATCTTTGGTGAAGAGAGAGGCAAAACTGCCTGGTCTCGAGCTGGGTCTGCTGTGGTAAGGATAGGGCAGGTGGCAGGGCTGTGCAGGAGCATTGCCACCTGCAGGACTTCTGTGGATCAAGGTTGGGTGCGTGGAGCTGCCAGTCCCATTCCTGCTCTTTGTGTTCTTGTGTGTTGTGCCATGCAGGAATTCTGGCTGCCTGCTTCTCTGGTGGGATGCTGCTGGATCCATCTTGGTTGGATTGCCCTGCTGAGAGCTTACAGTGAGATACTTGTGAATGCATATAAACTTATGGAGGATTGTTACTCTATTATAGGGTTGCAGTATGAGCGTTTGCCAAACTGGGAACCATTACTGTAATTATTTACATTTTATTCTGAGGATGCCCTTGGTGTTGTTACTGTGCTAAAAGGCTGCACTGAGTGGACCAATTTATCCACCAGATCATACATTAAGACAATCTTTTCTATTTGCTAGCATTTCATACCTCTTTGATATGAAACAAGGTGCTTTGGTTTAAGGAAATGAGATTGTTCATATTCCAAAGCTGATCTACATTGCCATCTTATTGTCAAAGGTTTTGTACCTTCTTGGTGATTTCTCACGGGCAGCTTCTCACAGTACTGACTCCTTCTTGTCAGCACAGCCAACAAAACTCCATCTAACTTCTCAACCAGCCAACCTACTCTTTTACAATACCCATCCTAATTGGATCTAGCTGTGGCCTATTAAGGGCAGGCCTGTTCCTAATTCTTGATAATAAGGAGTTACAGCTGTAACTCCTTAGGGATGAGATTACCTTCATCACTATCTCTATTTTCCTACATTCCACCCGTTCAGAGATCTACTGTCTTAAACCTTCACCAAAGCAGGGTATAAGTTTCTTTGCTCTTCTTGAGCTGTCCTGGTAAGGAGCAGAAGAAAGCAGGTTGCAAACACTTGCTTTTGTGCTGCTAATTTTGTGTTGGGAGCATTAAAATCAATTACCACAAAAGTTGTTTTCCTGAGAAAACAGCTGTTAACAGCTCGGCATATTAATGGGTTACACAGCAAGTGGATTTCTCAGCCCTAATGACTTGCCTTAATTTTGCTACCAAATGTTTGGACAAGGTTATTATTCTTCATTGCTTGTCTGCTCTGAAAAAATAAATTTATACCATCTAAATGCCCTGAAATACTTAAGTTGCTTTATTTTAGGTCTGACATGTAGGCTTATTTTCATGTTGTCACTGAGTTCTCTGGTTCACTTTAAAAAGTAGGCTAGAAATCTTTGGCAGGAGTTTTCTGGGAGTCTGTCAATACTAACAAAGTGCATGGAAAACAACCAAGCTTGAGAACATGAAATCGAAGAATTGTAGCAAAGAAAATCTCTCCTGAGCTGTCACCAAGAATCCCAGTAAGACCCTGGCAGTGCCTGCCTCTAAGGGCAATAATAAAAAGCAGAGCTCGTAGCCTGATCAATAAATCCCTGTCTAATCTGATTTGCATGTTCCTTCTGCAGAAACCAGATCTTCTTACACAGGTTTGTTCAATATCCATATTACAGGACTGTGGAAGAAAAAAACACTCATTAGTTACAAGATACATGTCACCTGTAAGTTAAGGAATCTGTGAGCAAAGGTGGAAAGACAATAAGGAAAGGTAAAGAGAGTGGAAAGGGTTTGGATTGCTAATGGTGCTGGGTGGTAGGTCAAGCTTGCTTTTGGGCTGAAAGAGTTGACATGAACACACTGCTCTGTAAAGGGCGGTGGTTCATTATCCAGTTTTGGATTTTCCTTTGGGATGCTGCTTGTTTCATTTAATAGCTCTGTTAAAACAGTGCTGTCTCTGGTGTGACCTGATCATGGCCTCACTGATTTAACTACTTGAGGCCTTTCCTGGAATCTCCCAGGGAAAGTAAGTTTTAGTAACACAGAAGATAGGACTAAAATGGCTAAGTGGATTCAGGTTTTATTTTCAACAATTTTTTTCCAATCGTCCAAATTCTTGTTGTGCCTTGTTTTTCTGGAAGTAAAGGAGTAGGCCAGGAGCAAAGGGTTTCAGTTAGAAGGACCATGGCACTCCATAAAATCCATGGTAGTCATAGGGTGTAACTGAGATGAATGCACAGTGCTGTATGTAATCAACAAGCATTTGTATCTTCCCAGTTTTGAGGATCTCATCTTAATTGGACCATAGAAATGCTGGCAGAAGAGCAGGCTGCTGGCTTATACTCCCCTTTCAAGAAGAAACAAACCCCTTTAAGGTGCAGGGGGTGATGGTTTATAATTACCTAAGAAGAATCCAAAGGACAAGTTCAACATGAATTTTGAAACAACTTTGCCACTAAAAGATGTTAATTTAGCAAAAACAGGGAATTTTTTTTTCTTTTCATTGTTGCAACAGTTTTATACAAAAAGCCATGAGACTGTTCCTGCACAGGTGCAGGCATGTATGTCTGTATTTATAGTTACATATTGTCCCTCCTAACTTAAAACTTGCATGAGGGACCTACTTAGAATTTTTAAAGGTGAGCTTCTGTAAAATTTTGCCAGGCATTTAACAGTAAATTAAGTTAAAACGGGCTTTAGATGTGTATTGAATTAAAAAAAAAGCATTGACTTAAACTTTTTTGGCTTACATAAGCACAGCCTTCAAAATCTGAAAGATTTTATGTACAATTTAGCCTCAAAACAGTGAAACAAATCTTCACTTTGCAGGCTAAAGGGAATTAAAATACAAAAGTAATTTGTTGCTTGTATGATAATAGCTATAGAGAGAATAAAGTTTTGAGGTATTTAGTCTCAAACCTATGATCTAGTGGGTGAAAACCACATGCTTTTACAGGGTGTAGCTCAACAAGCATTTCAAATACACTACAAGGAGTACCTTTGAAATACTACTTGTCAGACAGGATTTCCCCATTGAATGGTAATACTATGAAATCTATAGTTTCTGTTCTTTTCACTTGTCTAAACTCTAAACAGCTCTTCAAGTAGATTTTTAATGATTTCTTTTTTTTTTTTTTTTTTTTTTTTTTTTTTTTTTTTTTTTTTTTCTGGAAGAAAATATAGGCATTCTCTGAGAGGCAGCACTTTTTGATTACTTCAAAGACGATGTGCTCCATGAAGACTGGATACGTATTTAAACCATCACAGCTCAAGAAAAGAGCAGATTTAGGGCTGGTATTCAAGAATGTTTTGACTGCTGATTAGAAAAAATATATACAGATTCTAGTATTCTTCAGTATTTCATTTATTTACTCATCCGTGATACTTCACGAGAGACAAGCAATAGTATGTGATAGGAAACAATTGCAAAAATATTGATAGCGCCTGAAAGGAAAGCAAATAAAGGACACACGTAGATGGCAGAGGAAAGCTGCGGAGGGTCTTCCCGGGGAGATGCTCCGGGGCGAGCTGCCGGCGGCCGGGCGAGCGGCGGGGCCACCCAGGAGATGGTGCTGTTGGACCGTGGAAGCGGCACAGCCCTGACCCAGAAGCATCTTTCAATGCGGTCCTCCCTGTTTTCCATCTGTGTTGCATTTTACTCTTTGGGGTTTTCTTTTGGGAGAAAAAGGCGTCGGTGTTAAGCAGGCGCGTAGCGCGATGCCGCCCCGCGCCAGCCAGCCCTGCGCCCTCGCTGGAGATGACGGCAGTGCTTGAGGACGATGTTTTCCGCCGGGACCGCGCGGCTGGCGAGATGGTAACGCCGAGGCGGGGAGCAGCTTCACAGCTCACTGCCCTCCCCGGAGCCACCGCCTGAGCAGCGCTGTGCCCCGGCCGGGCGCCCTCGGCCCCGCTGCCTCGCCTGGGGAGCAGCACGCCCGCTCCGGGGGCTCCTCGGGGACCCGCCGGCTTCCCTGCCGGCTTCCCTGCGCCATCCTCGGGCAGCCCGTCCCGCACACGTGCCGTGCCAAGGTAAGCGGCAGGGCGAGGGGCAGCCCCGGCACCCCGGGCCCAGCCCGGCGCACGAGGCACCGGGCACCTGTGGGGCCTGTGGGCGCCCGGGCTGCGGGCGGCTCTGGGGGGAAGATCGGAGGTGGCAAAGGGGAATCTGGGGCTCTTTCCGTCCGGAGTATCTCAGCAGAGCAGGAGGTCAGAGGGTTGCAGTGATATTTTCTGTCAATTTACTGTTTTATTAGCATCCTCTCTCATCTCGTTTGGTTCAGAGGCTTCAAACCTGGCCAGAAAAGATCGGCAGGAGCTGGAACAGGTTAGTGGATGCTCTGGGAGTAGCTGTAGCAACGTGAAGGCACCAGACTGGGTACTTAAGGAATATTTAATGGAAGGGAACATCAAGGGCCTTTCCCCTAGTTGCAGGAGTGCTTCTGTCTCTGAGGATGTCTGCATGTGTAACCAGGCAGTGACCAGGGTTTTAGATGAGATATAAATCTAATTCCCCACTTCTCCAGCCTGAGGTCTTTTTTACCTGAATGGGTATAACTGAAATAAGATCTTTCTACGTGAAGGCAGAGATGCCAAAAGCAAACCTCCTGCAGGCACCTGGGTGGGTTACACGGCCTCCCTAATTGCAGCCACCATGTGAGTGAACCATTTTGAGTTTGTGGCACCCATTTCTCTGTGGCTGAAGTGAGCATGGCCAGTGGTGGAGGTGAAGTGGCTGGTGAGGAAGGAGCCATCAGACAGAGGATGGCCTAAGCTCCTTTGGAGTAGAACCACTGGGGAGACCAGTGGTAGAATGACTTGAGGATTATGTCTGTGGTGCTGCATTTTAGTCCTCTCTTTCTAAATCATTAACAGCAATTCAATAGCCAGTGCTAGGATTCTATTTTTTTTTCCTTAACAATGAATGATTCAAAGCTCAGCTGACATTTTGTGGGGGCTTTTGCTACATGAGTAATACTTTGGCATGAGCTGGGTAGGGAAGAAATCTGCTGTCCAGCCATGTTTAGGTGTGTCAGCAGAAGGAAACCGGAAGAAAATACTAAAGAACAACAATTCAGGAAGGAGTTTAACCAGCCCAAAGCAAGCCTGTTCAAATTCCTTTGCTCTTCATGTGAACTTGAGGTACAGTTCAGCTCACTCTGCCAAACTGTCAAGTTTTCAGGCAGGAGCTGGATGTGCTTTGGATGTGAGGAGTGAGTGCTCTGAGCAGGATATGGCTCTGGGCTCAGCCACAACTTTAACATCATCCCTAACATCTCTGTCTCAAAAAGATAAGCTCTTCCTACATACTGAAGAGGAGTCTCAGCAGGCACCAGACACTAAGTTACACACTTTGTTTTAGGGACCATTTTGCACTGAGCTCACGGATGAAATGAAGTGCTTAGGATCAGCACACTGACTCAAACCTAGGAGACCTCTCTGCTCTGAGACCCCAAACCACCAAACTATAGTGCCAGGCCTCCTTTTGCCCCAGAAGCTCTGCAGCTCTTTCTGAGCCAGGAACCCTGTCCCAACAAGTGGAATGGTGTGCCCTCTTCCCCCGTAGTTCCCTGCCAGGTAGCTGAGTGCTTCATTAGAGATGGGCAATGATGGCTTGACCTCCCTGCCAGGCAGCCTTTCCATGTCTGGAAGAAAATACTCTTATCATTGCACTGTTCCAGACAGGCAGTTTCCAACACCATGTCGCTTCTGATATGGATTACACACCCCAGGTTTGCCAGATGCTATCCAATTACTGCCTTCAGAAAGTGTTAAAAAAGGGGTAGGTGCCTGTTTTTCCAGTTTGGGCCAGAGCCATAAGTCAGTATGAAATTTCAGATCAAAATGCCACCTTATAAAGTGCCTACATCCTATATCCTGATTTTTGGTTCTTAATCAGTATGCAGAAAGGAATTCAAGACAAGATTGCATCTGTAGCTGCTAGCAGACATATTAATGTAATACAGTCCTGCAGCTTAGTGGGAAATAAGTACAAAAAATGTTTGAAATTTCAGAGCATCTGGGTTTTGGTTGTGTTGAGAGGATTTGTCACAAAAGCTCCTGAGGGAAGAGTAGAGGAAGATGCCATGAATTCCACTTAAGAACAATAATAGAGTCTGGAGGGCATGCATGTTGCCAAAAACAGTAATACTGGGCAAACAAAGAGGAAATCAGTACAACTGAGTGTCAGGGAACCCTTCCAAATCTGAAAATCGAACCTTAGCTTTCCAATACATTTGTTTATTAATTAGTGTAAAGACTAGATGAAAGGGAAATAAAAAGGAAGTATGGTGCCCTGCAAAATACTAGAGTTATAGAATAAGTGTGCTTCAGGTGTGTCAGTCAGAAGAGTTAGAATAATTAACTGCTAGTTCAGAAACTGGATCACTGAAAATTAAAGGCAGAAATTAAAGAAGATAAGGACATTGCTGAGAATCTAAGTGATTTGTTTGCAGTGCTCTTCAGCACAGAGAATATCAGATTGATACCTACTGGGACTTGCTCCTTTCTGGTAATCAAGATGTGTCAGAAGGAAAAGCTGGAACAAATCGATAATTTAAAAAGCAGCAAATCATCAGCTCCAGATGGTATATTGAAAAGTTTTGAAGGAGCTTAGTATGAAATAGCTGATCTGCAGCAAAAATATGCCTTCCTTAATTAAAAACAACTATTTTGCCGGAGAAGTGGAAGGTAACAGTTGTACCCAGAGTTGAAAACAGGATTGAGATAATTTGAGAAAGCACACTCTCTATACCCAGATATACACTTCTGTTTTATAAGCTGGTTGAAGAGAGAATATAAAGTAGGGAAAAAAAAAAAGAAAAAGAAAAAGGATAGTCTCTAAAGAGGAAAGTTTCTGCAGGAAAGAGTCATGCCTCATCATGAATCTGTTTTAACTCCAACAGGGACGCGCTCAAATAAGGCAAATAAGAAGGAACCACTGTGATTTAGATAAACCTTAAAGGACCTTTGGCCTAGGCAGGATACTGTGAAACAAAGAGAGGGGATCTTGCTGCAAATCTCTTATCTGATGAGACTGTGCTGGGCTGCATGTCCAAAGGAGCCCTGACCACCCATGACATCTCCATGCTGCATCAGGCCTGTGACTTGTTCCTGCTCTGTAAGAGTGTTATCCCACCCATGTGATGCCAAATCCTGCTCCCAGCTGTCCTGGGAGGTGAGAAACCAATGAAGGGATGAGTGACCCGTTTCCAGCCTCTGAGAAAGCTGAGCAGAGGTTGTTTCTGCGTGTCTGTCAGGCCCACGGGCCTGAAAAGGTGAACACTGGTGAGAAAGGTTACACACTGCTTTTAAATTTTAAGTCCTACAGAGGATGGAGAGGTTGCTGCGGGGAACTGCAGGAGGCAGAAGCTAGGAGCTGAGGAGCATCAGTGGCAGCTGTGGTGGGAGGCTCTTCCTTCCTTGGTGCATAGCACCAAGGTAGCCTCTTTGTGGTGAAGGCATTCATGGGGAAAGAAAAATATGAACAAAAACATTTAAGATCCTCCTAATTGTTAGGTAAAGGCAGAGGCTGGCTGGCTGAATGCTTTTTACTACTGTCACTCCCTAGAGGCAGGTCTAGTACTATTTTTAAAAAATTAAAGAAGGAATTTGGTTATAGCAAAACAGAAAATCAATACGACAAAGCATCTAATTTCAGAAGAAGAAATAAGAGAGAATGTATTAATTTTCCCTTCCAGTGCTGTGTGTGAATTAATTAGATACAATATCAATGTCAACATTGTTTAACAACAACCCTGTATGTTTATAGAGAATACTCTGGATGCACTGAGAGGAAAATCCATACCTTTCCCCTTAGAGGGAATCCATAAGAATCCATACCTTTACCCTTAAAAGCATAGTTTGTTCCTATCTTAATTTTATGCAAATTGGGACCATTTGTGGACTCCTTATTGTGTTCTTTGTTCCTACATCCTGCTTCAAAGGTATTTCCCTGCTTCTGTTCTGTCAGTGGAGTTGACAAACTGACCATGTCACCATGAAAAAGATCTCAGTAGGATTTTGTGCAATAGCTTAAAAAACCCAAACAACCAACCACCAAATCTTTAACAAGTATTTAATGTTCAGAACCTTTGTTAATACAAATGTGCAATTTTCATCAACTTCAACCAGAGGTTCTTTGCTCTTTTAGGCAGACAACAGAACTACTACATCCTTCTTTCTCATCTGTTTTTGCCTGTCAGTCCTTCTCTCTTTCTTCTGATCTTTTCTATTTATTCTTCCCTCAGTCCTAGGGTCTTCCCTTCCTTGCCTTGCTCTCACAGGTGTGTGAGCCTGCTTTGTCTCATCTTCTTCTATACCTGCTCCTGCCTCCTCACAGCCTTGTCAGCTCACAGCTGTACCAGCTCTGGTGCCCAGCCAGAGTCAATTATGCCAGCAGAACTAATTAGAAGGCACAAGATGCTGTGCCTCATTCTTGAGATTTGTACAGCTGACCATTGCAGAGTGCTCTGATGATTAGGAAATACTGATTTATAGTAACAAAAATTATAACAACAAAAAAATCAAGGGTTTCTGGGCTTCTGGAATAACCCTGCTGTTTTTCTCTTTGGTCTGTTCTGTGCAATTATTTTTGTATTAATAACCTCTAGTACACAGCACTTCTAGGATGTCTCTGGGTTTGGTGGGGAACAGCATCAGCCAAGAAAAGCCTGGAGAAGTGCTGTATTTATGGATAATAAACTAGGCTGTAGATTTTAGAAAGGTTGTGTTTTGCCTTTTCCTTTAAATTTTCTTATGCAGTCACATAAGGGAGGAAATGATGGTGCAGAGGTGCCCAGGACACTTTTAAATTAGCTAATTTAGATGCAAAGTCAGTTTTGCCACGGCAGCATGGAGCAGAGCAGCATGGCTGATTCACTCAGTTCCCCAACAGTCCCGAGGGTCCCACTGCTCAGCTTTTTCAATGCTCTTTTCTGCAAGAAAAGTCTCCCCTCTCTGATGCCATGGGATGCTGTGGCTCATGGCATCACACAGTAATTCAGCTGCTTGATGTGACAGTTTGCTGATAT